AACATTTGTATTGAATAATACAGGTGTTATCCAAGAATCATTATATGGTTCATTAAATTATTATCAAAGTGTTATTCAAATTATTATTAGCCCATTCTTTTACAGTAAAACCCATAAAAACTTTTGCTCGATATATTTCAGTTGGAATAAATTATAACCATTGTGAAACGGTGTTTCAGTAATACAAAAGTACTACAAATAAGAAGGAACAATAGCCACGCTTTGATAATTATGTTTCACGATAGTGGTCAGTAGAGACGTGTAATAGCTCGCAAGCGTCATTGTGATACGCAGTTTTATCGGTGCGTTTGAAAATTTCTTAAGGATATCTCGAATCGGGCCAGTGGTTCTCCTCGATTACGTGGTCACCGCACCGCGATAAAGCGTCATCGGCCTTACGGCTGTCCGTAGCCGGCAGAAAAGTGAAATCGCGGTCACAGGTAGGGGGTCCTGAAGTAACATGAAATCGATTATCCAGGATATTACCATAACATCGCGAACTCTGAATCACGGCTCGTTAAAGCAAGGATAAATATCAAATTTAAATAAAATCGTTGTAATCGTACAAAGCGTCGCCAAATTTTCGATGTCCGAATTCGTTATTGTTCTTATTTTACTGAAACATCTTTCTATAGTAATTATTCGTAGGAAGAAAAGGGAAGAACAAACACGACACAAAATTAAAATGTTAAACAGAACGATGCGTTTTACAGACTCTCGATTATTGTGAAATTTTATACCGTGCTACTAGAAATATTGAATAATGATTATCATTTTTTTTCCTTCAAACATGTTTATAGTCCAAGTTATCCGTCCCTAATACGGATAGTAGGAGTTTTACCGTACTTTGATTACCTCGTATCGATGTGTTCGAGTTTTAGAACGGCTTTCTGAATGGGAACGTTCGCTTAAAAACAGTCCATCGATCGAAGACGTACAGGAAATCCTATTTTGGTTTGCTTAACAACTTTGTTTAAAGCTAACTGTGCCACAGCTTATAGGATTACGTCGGATTAGGTTGCGTAATTTATATAGGGTTGACCGTCCATTACGAACCATATCCCTAAAAAAAAAAAAAAAAAACTATCAAGAATAGAAATTCAATGTATGCAATAGTATACTGTAAAACCTGAAAAACCTTACATTCTTACTGACAAATACAGAAATAAGTAATAAAACATATAAATATCTTGAATAAAAGTAATATTCATTTGGAAAATATTGAATTATCGGATACATAAAAGCACTATAATTTTAATCGGAAATTTACACATTAAAAATTCGGTTACGGATTTTCGTGTTCCAATTTCTCCCAACAATAATTTTCATGTTTTAGTCAAAATTAATACAAAATATAAACTGCTAATTTTCACTGTTATAAATAAGTGTTTTAACGTGCGAACTCGCGTAAACATCCACAGTTCCAACAATCAACAGTAACTGGTGTATCGATAAGCCAGGTTAACAATCGTTCTACCGTTCGACTCGAGCCGGACACAGTGTACAGCGAGTCAAAAAAGGATTCGTACACTTTTTAAAATCGAACAATTCTTTCAAAATTAGACCACGTGACTTGACTTTCTTTATGAAGTTAGAAGGATTAGTGTACTAAATGATGCGTTAACAAAATGTTGAAAAACTTGCAATTGGTTGGAATCGCGAAGAAAATAGTAAAGGTCGATTTTTACGACTTTTTTATCTGAAATTGTAATGAAAATTTAACAAATACGTTGCTTAGATTTATGTTAGTTATATGTATGCTGAAAATTTCATCGAAATAGTATATCTAAAGATTCTTACATCTTCCGATGCCTGTTACTCGTTTCTATATTAACCGATTTCAATAAAAGTTGCAGCTTGTATGTAACTGATATAAGTCCTCGAAATGTATTTATTAAATTTTCATAACCGTCTCAAACAAAAAAGTTGTAAAGAACAACATTTGCTATTTTCTTCGACATACTGAAAGGTCGAAAATTTCTCAAAATGTTATTAACACATCATTTAGTAAACTAATCCTTCTAACTTCACAAAGATACTCAAATCGCTTGGTCCAATTTTGAAAGAGTTGTTCTGTTTTAAAGGGTGTACGAGTACTTTTTTGACCCACTGTATATTTACATGTATATTACGATGCGCGCACGGCTCATAGTTCTGTATCTATTCGAATGATTGATGGAGGAGGGGGCAGGTGAAAATTTAACGACCTTATCGCGAATTTGTAAATTTTTCTATGCAAACGAGGACGTCGTCGAACGAATAGGCTGTCCAGACGTACCCTCATTGAGATTCCGCGTAGCAATAATCAGCCGATATAGTCGTCTATTTTGTCCCACCGTGGCTGGCGCGGGTTCGTATTGTAAACGTAATAAAATATGCGGAATTTATCGACACTGGCTATCACGCATTCATGGCCTAAATTTACGCATAAATTATTATTACATCGCCGAGTTACAAATGATCAACTGTGGTATGTCGTTCTATTTACAATGTTGGCTGGGTGTCTAATCTACCCGTTTCAGAACATCCGAGAAACGAGGTAACGTTTTCCTTTCATTCGCCACTTCCCCTATCGAGGAAAATAATGTGTTGTTGTTATGTACAGTCGATGAGAGAAGTATTCATACATTGATGACGCTTCCCAGATAGCCCATGACGCCTTCAAGACGGCTTAAAGACGCTTTAGGGGGTCTGTGGAATAAAATATTCATTTGAAACAAAAACCATTCATTTTTCAAGGATCTTTCTTTTATGTTATGAAAATAATAAAAATTACTTTATGACAATAGAAAATATTTTCTAATTTTGATTTTCATAAAATGAAACAAAAATCTTTGAAAAATGAATGATTTATTTAAAATGAATATTGTATTATATATACAAACACTGCATATCAAATTCTTAATTGAATAATAGTAAATTAATAAGGGCTGCGATACTGTTTTTGCATCCGGCCGGCCAACAACCCAGGAACGGCCCTGTTGATAGCGTTATAGCTTCATACATAACGACAGGTCGTAGACACGAAGAACTGACTAGAAGTATGTACACATATAAGTATATGTATACTAGATTCAACTGTCGAACGTACGTATAATTTCACGTGCAAGCTACATGTAGTTCATGCTGTGTAAAGACTACGGAAAGCAGAACGTTGTCAGCGTTTGTATTATTTACTATGATAATATTAGGGAACATAGAACATCCTCGGGAATGGCATAGAAAAATCAGGTTGTTGCGAGACATTATTAAGCCATTATGGTTACGCGGCTAATAAAGCGGTTGATCGTAACTTTCGCTGACAATGGTATAGAAGTAATTACAGCTTCTATTTTCATCCCTGTCGCTTTCCCTTGCAAGCTGGCCTTCTTAGCCGTACGGGTCGATGCATACATATCGCCGCGAGGCTTTCTCAATATTTCGCCCTCTGTTCGTGTTCAAGAAACTCTCCGATTAAGCTAACAGTACAAGTTCGATTACAATTTATATCGCTGATCCGCCTATGATTCCAGACACACTCGGAAAAAAACAATACGTTACGACTGTGCTCGTTTGTTTCTCATACGATGATTAATGGTAGTCGCGTGTGTCCCTTTGACGAGCACAATTCACTTTCAACGAGGGCTATTACTTTTACCCGGGTACACATGAGATATCTGAATAATGAGACACTCGAGAATCTCGATTCAGGAGTCGATCGTATTTTCGACCATTTTCGACCGATATCGGCAATGACCGGAATAAACTGAGAAAAACTGAAAATGATATTACAAAAATAAAAATAATAATTATAATCATATAATAATATATATATTATATTGCGCTTTGATTGGTCGGGGTTTTTCATTAACATCTCGTTAAGAAAGCCTCGGATAACATTTTTGCTATGGAAAAACCTGTTTCAAATCACGTCGTGAGTCTCCCATTTCCGGGTCCTCCAACATTTTTGTTATACCCTGTGTACCTAAAACATCTCTTGCCATTTTTTGGGGCTGCAACTCACGAGTATAATCATAAAAAGATGAATCACCACTACCTTCGCTATTGAACAACGTAGGTAAAATTGGTTATTGACATAAGGATTAATTATTCATAACTCGAAAACTAAGGTATATAGTACACATGTTCATATGACATTTTTTACTTATATCAGTCTGTAGACTTAACTCCTGAAGGGCTGAACTTTACTCTGCCGGACCAAAAATTGTCTTTTTTTTTTATCTTCTGGTAGTATTCAACGAATGGAATCTAACAATGCAAGTTTTATGTTTACGAATCCACCGGTTCAAAAGTTATACGTATGTAAAACCAAGTAATTTTAGCGTACATTACAGGTTATAGTTTAACGCCATATTTGTTTCTATCCAAATTCGTCCAATCGGTGGTGTCGCTGCTTGCAAGGAGATGTCCGTGATGGCGGCCATTTTGGCGGGATAATTCTAATGTGCTTGCAAAAAAGAATCACTTATTCAAAACGAAACACTGATTCTGAGTTGGTTAGAGTCTATTTACGGGAAAAAACCACTTATTCAAAGCAAAATACTGATTTTGAGTTGGTTAAGCGCATCTCCTTACAAACAGTGACACAACTGATAGGGCGAATTTTAGATTAAAACCAATATGGCGTTAAACTAACCTGTAAAATACACTAAAAATACTTAATTTTAAATACGCATAACTTTCGAACCAAGATTCCTAAACTTAAAACTTGCATTTTTAGATTTCACTCGTCGAATACTACCAGAAGATATAAAAAAAAGTCAATAATTTTTGGTCCGGAAAAGTAAAGTTTAACCCCCTCCCAGAGGGGGAATAAAAAAAAATGCCTAAAGATGCTTATTTTACGGCTATTTTAAGTCTAAGGCGTCTTTAAGCCGTCTTCAAGGCGTTATCTACTGTCCGGGCTGAAGTATTGATACACATTTATGAATCACCCTGTGTATACACATGTATTTTGTCCCCATCATTTTTGATTTCTAACCTCTGACCTTTTTTTTCAGAATACATAACGTCGCTGAGGGAACGGGTATCTGACATTTTGTCACGTATTCCCGAGGACGGTGTCGTGTCCTGGGGCAAGATTCCTGAAGGAGCGAACACCACCTCCACCACCAAGGTGAGTGGCGTATGAATATTACAATAATTTCCGTCTGCCTCGTTTAACTACGCTCTCACGGCTAATCAGTTCGTCTCAACGGCAAATTTTCTTCCCTCGGTTTAATCCTTTGTATACATGTGACTCGTATGTCTGCTGCTCTCTGTCAGCAATCTGAATATCCGATCCTCCTGGTAATATCTTCCCTCGGTCGTTGAAAGCCAAATTCACGCTCCGCGGGGTTCGTGTGGTTTGTGTTCAGTTAGCAAATTAAAGGAAGAACATACACTTTATACGATACCGATTCGATATTTCACCAAAATATTGCTATCTGTTTCTCCTGTTGCTTCGACGGTATCGATATACACGGGTACTACGCAAAATTGTGATACATTTTTCACGATTGATTGAGTACATCGAAGTAATGAAAAAAGTTCGTGTACATCAAAGGGAAGTTGATGGAATTCATGCTACTTAAGATATTTTATATTTCCTATATGATACTGATTTATACGAAAATTAATGTCGAACATGACAGTTTGCAATTAAATTACCAATACAAATTCTTCCTGCGACAATCATTTCCACATCTCTTTTTTTTAATCGATAAAACGTAACTCCACGTATTGAGATATCAATATTTTGGTCAACTATAAAGTGAGTAGCTATGATTTTGAAAGGTATCAAATGGGTTTCGATACTTTCGTACATGTATCAAATGGATGACGATTATGTTTGATTAGTATGATCAAAAAATTCACTAAACAGTTCGTAAATATTATTTTCGAGAATGTATCCATCTAACGGCGAAAGACTAACGATACGATGCCATATTCCCAGATAGCACATGACGCCTAATGACGCCTTGAAGACGGCATAAAGATGCCTTAGACCTAAAAAAGCCGTAAAATAGGCGTCTTTAAGGCATCTTGTGATATCTGGATTGAATCTTCAGGCTCATAATATGAGTTATAAATGTTACAATAAAAGCGTTAATTCAGTAAATGTATACATTTCCTAGTCAATGTATGTACTTACTAATCTGGTTAGTAAATCTATTCACAAGGCACGAAGTTTATACTGTTACTAGTAAATGCATACGTTTCTTTACAGATTACACTACAATTACATTTCTGATTTAGTAAAAACATGCAGAAACAAAAATGCATTAATTTCAATAAACACTTCTGCTAGCATTTCTTCATATGAATCATATAACTTATCAATTTTGGCTAATAAGGACGCGTCTTTACAGTTTACATAAGTATTGTTAATTTCACGGGTACAAATCATTTAGGTTATTCTATTAAAATAAATAAAAACAGTATGAAGGAAAATTTTCTGTTAATTTATATAACTGAAGTATTTATTTTAATTATACATAATTCCCAGATAGCACATGACGCCTTGAAAACATCCATTTTACGGCTGTTTTAGGTCTAAGGCGCCTTTAAGGCGTCTTCAAGGCATCACTAGGTGCCATGTGCTATCTGGGAAATGTATAACATTTACTAAATTTCGCGCTTTTGCTGTGACATAAATACTAAGTAAATTAATGGTAACAAATGGAATCATACACTCGACAAAGGTTAAGACATCTTGACCCAGATAACACTTAAGGGCGTCTTGGACCTAAAAAAGCCGTAAAATGGGCGTCTTCATGGCGTCATGTGCTATGTGGAGATCGACATCTTGAAACTGTGTATTCGAAAATAACGTTAACTCGAACGTTTGTGAATTATTCCGTGTTCGGTGATACGGTACAGTCAACGGGCGCGCGGAATATTCCGTTTCCCGATGCAAATGAATGCATAAACAAAGCAGGTAGAACAGAACGAATAAAAATATGTCCCGCGAATATGTTAGGCAAAAGTGCTGACGCATCCATGAAAAAGCTTAAATGACGCATAATGTTTTGCGAAAATATTGAACTTCGCTTGTTAAAACAACCGCTGGATGTTTCCATTAGTCTTTTAATACTTGATATCTTGTTGGTACTTTGTAAAATCACTTATATTACAATAAAATGCAGCTACGAACCAATTTACTTAGAAGTCCTCTTTGTTTAGAAATATTAAATCTCTTATAATAATAAATATTAAATGTAGGAAATATTGATTTTAATTTTTAATTTTTTTTTTTTAATAAATATTAAATTTAAGAAACTTAAAGTTTTCTTTGAAGTCCTCTGAGATGCTACAAAACGGTGCCAGCAATCAGAGACATCATATTTTAATTTTTTCTAAAAACCATATTTGAACAGTTTTCAAGCAGATATCTGGCATAAAAATCGCCGTAAAAAAAAATAACGGTAACATCATTCAGGTCTTGAAGGGTTAAATGATTTTGAGTCTGCTCAAAAATGATTTCCCAGATAGCACATGACGCCTTGAAGATGTCCATTTTACGGCTATTTTAGGTCTAAGGCGCTTTTAAGCAGTCTTCGAGGCGTCATTGGCCGTCATGTGCTATTTGGGTTAAGGAACGAGTATCCAGAATAGAGCAGAAATATCATGAAAATATAAAGGAACAACATCTGAAGATAAACTTGATAATGTCGATTTCATACAAAGACCATAAATCTTTAACTTTCCGGAACGGTGTTAATAAATTTCAAAACATGTCAGGAATGCATAATCATTTACGGGATGGTCGACCACCTATGTGTTATCCGAAGGTGAAAAATTATTAACATATTCCGTACAGCGTTCCGCTCGCGTAACTTGACGCCGGGGTCTCGCATATTTTTTGGTGCTCTAACTTTACTTAAAAGAGACCCAGCTCGCAGTCATCCGTTAAAATGTTTGCATTTTTAACAATTAATTTGTCGAAAACGAGGGAAGGGTGTCCCTTGCTACTTTCAGAGATTGTTCCAGGTGACTTCTCCTACGCATACAAAAAATTAATGAAAAAACTCGAGATACACTTCGTAGGTGCGCCCTCATGACAAACTTTGTCCCGGTGCATACATGCACATTACCTGTTCGCATTTATAAACTGTTTAATATTCAGAACCATTTCTTATGTCGCTATTCATCCTACTGATATTTTTATACTTCAACTATTATTTTATTTTGTTAGAATATTAGTATATAATTATTCATGGAGTATTTGTTCCGTAAAAATAATTAACAGAACCAAACCCGTCAAAGTAACAGATTTCAAATTTCTCATTTTGATAATTACTGAAATCATAAACGAGCTTTTTGTTGGAATTTATATTGACCTTTAACTTATTATACTCTTCCCATTATATTAGATTTTATTATACTTTTATATACATACATTATACATATCAGTATACTACAAAATTTCGTTGAGCATACATTCAACGCTGGTATTTTTATATAAACACATTGTAGCAGTAAAATCATTCTAGAAGTTAAATGAAACATTAACATTGTTTTTTAAGAGAACAGTTGACTTAAGACCCATGGTTCCTTTGAGACTTTTGTTCCTCACGATGAGTACTATACGATGCAATAGAATAAAAAGATTTGATCTTTTGACCTTGATTTCCAAGGTTAAGGTCAATTTTGCAGTCCAATTTTTTAACAGATCTCCATCGATCCAGAGACGTAGAATCTCGTTATGATGGTCGTGACATATAATTTTTATACACCCTATACATATATGTATATTATTTGTCACGTACGCCAATAACAAAAATGACTTTCTTTTTAACCCTTGACCCTTTCTTGGACGATAGAATGTACAGGCTTAGATAAAGACCGCCACTTCTGTGCTGATGCAACGATCTAGATTTTCCAGGAATTACAGTTCCGATGAGACGATGCATACATGATTTTTGGACCGATTTTCAAATATATAAAGAGCCACCAATGTATCCTCGATGATCACATCTCGAGTCTGACTTCCATAGACGACAGACGTATTAACAAGATCTAGTTAATCTCCTTCAAGCATTCATAACCACACAGTACATAAATTTACTGTTAGGCATTACTTTATCTTGACCCCGCGCTCTATCTTGGTGCGTAAACATCAAGGGAGGAATTAGTTTCCGTGATACTTACAACTCAAACATTTGTAAAGTCCTATGACTAATTTAGAATATATTCATTACTTATTCTATAAACGTAGAATTCAATTCATTTACAAGCCTTGAATCATATCCGAATTCCTAGCTCGAATTAAACCCACAACAGTACACTTTTACCGCCCGAAGCGTACTGTATTCTTAATTACAAAGTTACGAAGCCAACGTATTACTTTAACCTAAAACTGCTCCCGGTGATGAAATAAGCATTGGTTCGTCCGCTTCTTGAAGTGGCTCCCGGTGGTGAAATAAATTTCGGTTCGTCCACGACTTTAACCAAAAAACCTAGTGGCTCCCTCTGATGAAATAAACTCAAGTTCGTCCACGATTCTCTTACCAATCTGTGCGGCTCCCGGTGATGAAATAAGCATCGGTTCGTCCGCGACTTTCCGTCGTTTCAGCGGCTCCCAATGATGAAATAAGCATTGGTTCGTCCGCTCCTAACACACTACCTTACCTCGGCTTCGGCAAAAGCTGCCTTTAGCCCTCGCCTTTGTATCACTGCGGTCAATAAAACGAAGACTGAAATTTCAGTAAAGAATTTTCAAAGTAAATGTAACTCACAATTTAAAACAGACGGCCGAATGTTAGTATAGAAAAAGTGTTACACGGAAAGTTACTTAAAAAAAATGTAGGTATATATGTACATCTAACAGTGAAACATGGAAGTACCAGAGTGCATAAGGGATATTAGAGTGCACATCTTCGTTCCACTTTGGAGAATTATAATTTCTTGATGGAATGATAAATAGAGGACTTATTTAAATATTACAATAGAAAATTTGAAAAAATGTGCGAATAAGTTAACTTTATCGGTTGACGTTTACTTTCAACGAGATAATGCTTCAGCAAGCATCGCCTGCATTATCCCACAGTAAACTTTATACAGGGGGTCCACTAGAAAGAGGCTACCTTAGTGTCTTTTGTTGTACCGATGATATAAAAATGTATGGTACACCGTTCATACGAGGTGTTTCACCTTAACGGTTTAATCTTTATTTTCCTGTAACTGTTACAAATAGTTAGTGACATAAATAGCAAATATACAGGGTGACTCTATAAGAACTACTATTTAAAATAACTCGTTACGTATTGTTTGTATCAAAAAACGTTTTAATGAATTATGTAGCGAATAATTTCGACTTAACAAAATCGAAGTTAAAGGATACAAAACCCTCCACACATAATTGGAGTTCAATAAATCAATCTATAAAAATTTGAATTTGCACAAAAATCCGTAGTTTACTCATGAGAATCGAAAAACAGATCAGTAAACAGTGGTATTTATCGTTTAAAAGGCATTATAAGATCCTTAATCTATAGTGAACCTTTCGTCGAAACCCATGTGCACGTTTATAATCATAAAACAGTTAAAATAAAAATATCTTTTATCTCGTAATTCGAAGGTTGCGTGTAATCCACTCTCGCGCAATCTTTTGCTCTTTACGCATTGCAGGCGTATTTGTATAGGGTGAGCGTACATCATTAGGGCGCTTTCATACCGACGCATGCGAGCGCCCGCTAACAACAGAAAGTAGAAAAATAAATCCGAAGAAATGTCCGTATTTATTTAGGTGTTTTAGAATGAAATATTCACGATACATAAAATGATGTATACATCCACTAACTTACTAAGGTCAATGTCCCTATTTCTAATCACGTCCCGATTTCTGCTCAGTGCGTATATGTATATTTTATTCAATTGAAAAAGTTAAATAATAAATTAGTCATACAAAAAATTATCTAAATTAGTTTAGTATTTCCGTACAAAATGCTACAGCTCACTGTTCAATAGATGGCAGCATTTTAATAGAAATATATTTAATAAGTGTGTCCGTCGTAAGAAGACGTAATTTGAACGGTTCCGTTGCGATCCTGAGTTACCCGTGGAGGTTACATAGTTACTAAAAGAACTTACGGAATCTTTAATATTATTCGCCAAAGTTTGGTTTTGGCACTTCTATTTTCGCTGAGCAGAAATAGGGACATTTTATACTCCATATTAAGGTACACTATTATTAAGTTAAAATGTTTTTAAAAATGCTTTTATTTAATGTTAATTATAAAGGGAGGTTTAAATTTGATATCTAATAAGTTCTTTTGTCGATTGTTGCATAAATAAATAATAAAAATCAATTTCTACGATAGCAGAACTCTTGCATGATTAGAAATAGGGACATTAACCTTAGTCGATTATTGACGGAGATATACAGCTAATTTTTCAGTGTTATGAGAATTTCAATTATTGGTAGAACGTTAAATTTAGATTCTACAGAATTCCAAGGAATCTATAATTATTGCGACAACATGAACAAGTGATTCAAATGGTTCATTTTGAAATGGTTATCTTCTTGTTTAATGGTAGATGATATAAAGAAAAATGTACAATTACTTTTCAGTGGTTTAAAACAATTTTACTGTCAATTTTTTCGATAAATCTCCACCGATTCAGAGATATACATAGATTCACACTTGAGAGTAGTTGATCATAATTTTTTTTCTCTTACAAGAATAAGGCAAATGCATATTTACAAAGTAAACTGGTGGTAGAACTGGGTAGATTGTGATTCTACGTGAAAAAATAAGTCGAAAATATACAATAAAATTTTTTTATTTGACACTTTGTTTTCGAGAAAATCGAATTTGAACATGAATCTAGAACGCGTGTATTTGTGACGGTAGAAAGTGGAAAAGACTTGTGATGAACAGACGTATTAGCCAAGTCCTATTCAATCGCACACGAATCCTGCAGATTTTGGAATTTAATTATCTCGACAACGAAGCATCCTACGAAAACATTTTATTGCACATTTTCCACATATTTTTGTACATGGAATAACCTCCTGCCCCCTTGAACCATTCTTTTGGTCTTCATTTTGTACAAATAATAAAATTAATTTTACATACATAATTGATTTTATAGCATGTCTGCCTATACCATTGAGCGTTTTTGATATATTTTTCTTCTCAATTCACAAAACGAAAATGACTTTGAAACATATGGAATTCGAAAGAAAAACTTCTTAAAAATATTGAAATTATTTGCGGGCAAATAAAGACGAGAGGTCTTCTCTATATTACGAAATAATTCCTAAGAATTGCATTGTATTTGATTTAATCACTAGAAGCAGGGCCGTTCCTGCCTGCAAAAACAATATGACCGCCCTTATTAATTTAATATTATTTAATTACTACTGTGTTTAATTTTATATCTACATAAAAGTATGTTTAATTACTTTTTATCTCAGCATCATATTGTACAAAAGTATGTTTAAGTAGTTTTAATCTATATACATAATTTCTTAACAGTTATCATGCAAAAGGAATATTTTCTAAATTCTATTTTCATAAAATGCAGCAAAGACCCTTAAAAAGAATGGTTTTATTTAAAATAAATAGTTTATTATACATATAACTACAAAACTAACGTATAGTTTTGGTAATAATGATGTTCTAGTTGATAATATCGACGATTCATAAACTACACGAATCTGATCCAATAAATATGGCTATGTAGATATCATATGCTTTTTTGGGCTATACATATACATATAAACAGAGCTCATTCTTGTATACGAGTAGTGTTCCAAAGATTACATATAAAATTAATTTGATTGAATTCTGTTTGTTTAAAATTTTGAGAATCATCGAAAAAATTTTGATTGTTATTCTTATTAGTCGAAATTTAACATATAATAAATGGTCTGCGGCCGCCTCTGGTTTTTTCCCACCAGGAACGGCTCTGACTAGAAGCATTACGTACGCGTGCAGGAAATAAGAAAAAGTCGTGCAATTACCTTGAACGTTTTATTTTTTTTTTTTTTTTTTTTTTTAATCTGTCAAATTCCTGTTCATATTTCGCTGTTTTCTCTTTTTGCGTTCGTGTGACCGAACGTTTTCTACCTTTAAGTTATTCAAGTGCCATTAGTGGCGCGTCCAACGGACATGTATGAAATATAAATACCATGCATGATTCTCCTCGTTAACTTTCGATGCGCACAATGCATTGTTGTAAAGTGTGCAATAAATTACGTAACGCAAAGTGTACACATCAACGCAGATCAGGTTGCTACACATCCCCGAGCGTAGACGTCAATTACGAAACTGTTAAAATCATAAGCAACACTTAATGTCTAGTCACTCTAGTTACTGTCAGCGACGATCAAAATAATATTCACTATTCCCCTTCTTTCAGATTAGATTGTTGCACATTATACGAATTTTGTTTGAAAAACTAAGATTAAATAGACTCTGGACATGTTTTTCTTTGAAATACAAGTGAAGTGTTACATTAAACATTATAATACTAAGACAATGTTTATTCATTTGTTAAAATAGTTTGATTTTAACATGTGTAGTTATAAATAAATGTCTGGGATTTTGCTGAAACTGAAATATGTTATACTTCATGTAAAAATAGGGAGGGGTTAAGTCATCATTTTGTTGGTTTCGAAATTATTTAAAAACATACAGAACCTCAAAGTTGGCGATTTCATCGATTTTATACGAAAACTACCACCACAAAAGAATTTTTAGCACAGTAACTATTAAAGATTCGAACTTGATTATTTTTTCATTTTGATCGTAAAGGATCGTTCTGTGTAATTCATTTTTTGTTTTGTACGTAACGTTATTTTTGAAGCGTTATTCCTGCCCAGATATCACATGACGCCTTAAAGACGCCTATTTTACGGCTATTTTAGGTCTAAGCATTTCTTCAAAGCATCATTGGGCGTCATAGAAGATGTAAAACAATAGAGTGTCATGCAACGCGTACAGTTCCTCCCCAATCCAATCTATTCTGGATAAAATGTCTACAAAAGAATATAATTCTTTTTCAGATCATCGATGGACACGTAGTGACTGTAAACGAGACAACCTTCAGAGATGGTGACGACGAAAACGGGATAGTGATCCGCGTCCGTGTTATCGACGTGAAACCCCAAAACGAGACGATTCTTTTGACCGAGAGCACGGCAGATGGGGAAGTGACCACCTTGCCCACCGTTACCTCTAGAATACCGGTAGAGACCGGAACAGCATCCAGCGAAGTAGATCGCACCACGCAATCACGAAGCGTGGAAACAGTCGAAGATATCGACAACGAAATTCCGAAGAACCAAGTGGACACCCTGACTGCTTGAAGCGGCCGCCGAGCTACCTAACCAAGATTGGTCACAAAATTGAATCCGAAAAAATGTCTTTAAACGAATGTTGAAAATTGATTGCCAGATTATATCGACACTTTACGATAATTGTCGTGTCGTTATAATATACTATGTATCAAAGTAGCCCGTAAGATCTTGTAACATCTTTCAGACACTTCCCAGATGACACATTACGCCTTGAAGACATTCATTTTACCGCTATTTTAGGTCTAAGCCACCTTTAAGCCGTCTTCAAGGCGTCACTAGGCGTCATGTGCTATTTGGGTTGTTTCACGTGAACCATTTATTTTTTGTTCGACCCTTAATTTTAGACGATTGATCTCGGAGATGAATAATCCGACAATGATTACGTTGGAATACTTTTAATAATCAACTGAACGTTACTTTTTCGTTATCGGTGCGAAAATAGTGTGCTACTTACTGTCAATTCAAGGTACTCTTCCACTCATAATTGTTAGGACATTTATCGAATATGCCAGTTAATGTTAGAAAGCATTACCTAATTGCTGAAAGTCTAACATAAATATTGGTTAGAGGTTATTAAAGCTGAATGGAAAGTATATAATTTTTTCGAAACATTACATTTTCTACACACGGACCATGTGTTCTAATACTTGCGAGAGGTAGTGTACTCAAACGCTGGAGCGTCTAAAATTCTCCGCTAGAGTTCGATAGTGAAATGAAAATTCAGAATCGTCTCCGTGACGAATGGTCTGCAGATAGTTGACGCTAGAACTACCGACAATAAATGTACATCCAACTCGAATCGGTCGATAAACATGACAAATTTTGGAAAATTTATAAATCAACTGATTTCTTGAACGTTGTAAAAGTGCTGAGAAAATATATTGTTATAACTAGACTGCGGATTTTATGCATTCATAGCTTATGGGGCTCTGTGAAATACAGTAAAAGACAAAACTTTCATCAGATGCAACGGGGTTTCTATTTCATTTTTAATCCAATAAGATATTTAAGAGAAGGAAGGATTTCCTCATTTTATTCTTGTCTTTATGAATCACTTTATAAAATGTTATTTTGCACAAAAATCCGCAGTTTAGTTATTACATTTTAATCGTCGTTATAGGTCATTTGGATTTGCTTGGTGGTTCTAGTGTTAAGGGTTAAACAATCGTGGTAGTTTTAGGTTATGAATTATCATATCGCACTACAAGACAAGTTTCGAAGACCACCGTAAATCAACGTTCCCGATATTTATACGATATCTGAGGTTACTTTTTCAAATAGGCCAGAACTGAGTACTGGAAATGATACGGTATAATGATAACGCAGAATGTAAGTCTTTCCATTCAGGAATACTATTTTGGATTCAATTTTGATGATTCACGTACGGTTAGTTGTGTATACTAATTGTGTATTAACAAAAGCGTCGACTATCGTTGAGCATTAGAAATGCTATATAAATACATTCGTTATCTAATAAAGATATTAATTATTACTTTAAGTCGCCTGTAACATGAAGCAACTGTTGTAACATTTAAAAATGTTTATTTCCTATTAATGATGAAAAAAAAAGTTATCTTTGTATACAACGTTATCCTATAAGAACTACCAGCAGTAGTGAGACTATACGTATAATTACAGGTTATTGTAACTACCTATGATATTCAACAATTGATAAGCGTTTGTGAAAGGGAACGAGAAACTTTTCCTGTCTTAAAAGAAATAGCAACGAATGCTGTCAAATATACAATATTCCTCTTTCTTCCTGTTTCGTTTGGATTCTCATCCTCTTTTTTTTTCATTTCTGAAGGATCCTAACAAGAGTATAGCGAATACAAGAGAAACATAGTCAACGTATTTTATTTATGCTAATAAGTCCTCGAAGAGCATTTAGAAGCGCGCATACGTTAAAAATAGCATATAACTTAAAAGGGAAAACGTAAGCAAAGTTTAATGTCGACCGATGTAAAAAATTTTAATAAACGATTGTTGTAGCTTCCGACTGATAGAAGGGAAGGATCAAATTAAATTACCGTAGGTTCTATTTTTGTATAAAGCATAATGTATTCCGTCGCGTAAAAATTATTTTTTCATGAGAAAAAGTGTTAGCATACGATAAATAAATACTGTTGGCACAAGGCTGTTGTTTGTTGTCTTATTTCAACTTAAATGAAGCATACTACTGTTCGATAAAACTTAGGGTTGTTATTACAGTAAGCACTACGGAATTGCTTCGTTGCCAGTATCACTGGAATATTATTACTGCTACTGTGTTTCATATCGCATAATTACTTGTAAACATTTGCGGGGTAAACATTTTTCAAGGATACATTGGAAAAATGTTACAAATATTAAAGGTTACCTTATAATTCTATAAGGACTTGAGTGATACTACTCTAACAGAAATGACCACTTATTATTTTATAATTCACCACTTCAAGGATGGACAAAAGGACACAAAAAGAATGAAACAGTTCATATAAATATGTACCCGATTTAACCATCTTCCCAATTTATAGCCATTTTTATACTCTAGTAATGTGCATATGCTTTAGTCCTCGCCAATTTGCGGCTTTCTGTGCTATTCTAGCTGAGATGATTTGAAATACGTTTTTCCTTAGCAAAAATGTTATCCGAGGCTTTGTTAACGAGATATTAAAGAAAAACCCCGACCAATCAGAGTGCCAGTCTGCCGGCCGAGATCCCGCGGTAGCGTTGGCTACACGCTACGATTGGTCGGGGTTTTTCGTTAATATCTCGTTAACAAAGCTTCGAATAACATTTTTGCTAAGGAAAAAGTTGTTTCAAATCAAACCAGAAATCCCTCATTTCGGGGAATTGAAGCTATTTTGGGACCCGAATGGCCGAATCGATGCCGATACCTACGTGTCTGTACCGATATGATACAGTATGTTACAAACACTTTTATTCAAATGCATTAAAGAATATTTATCTGATCGGTGCTGAACAGGTACGTTCTTCATGTCTGGCGGATAATATATAAATCGACCTTTATCCGGGGATTTCCCTAATCCTCTAACTGTGTTACAGGAATGCGGTGTTATATTTTCTATATATTGTAGAAATACATTTCATAAACTAGACTTAAATTCCTCAATCAATTTTTGTATTTAAAGGATAGTAAAGTAATTTTACGATATTCCATTTGCAATCCACACCACAGATTATTGCAGCATATGTAGATGGCAGGCTGGAATAAGATCACAGACGAGTATATGAATAGACCTACATTGACACGGGGTCTCTGGCGCCTCTTCCGTGGGTTCTTCTATAACCCTACGATCTCACCACACGGTGTCTGTGGCGCCTCCTTCGGGGGTTCTATGCCCTACGATCTCACCACATGGGGTCTTTTGTACATGCTCCTGGGGTGCTATGACCCAACGTTCTCACCATACAGGGTCTTTGGCGTCTCCACCGGGGTTCTGTGACCCCACGTCCCACCACACGGGGTCTCTGGCGCATGCTCCTGGGGTGGTATGACCCCCTTTTTGACACACACTGTGTCTCTTACCACATCGAACGCACAGTTTCATCTATATAGAAGCATGTGACAATGTCAGAAAGAATTGCTCTTTCTTAAAGTAAAGGATTGTATACAAATAATCAAATTACAAAACGGTTTCAGTTGGAGATGGTGTGCAAAATCACTAACGGTGATTTACCACAGTGATCACCGAATCACGATCACGGTTGTGATTTAATTTCATTTACGACCGTGATTGCGATTTTTGTACCTTGAATGAATTTGCTCACTGCGATCGTAAGTCCTTGATTTTTAAATAGAAAAACGTATTCAATATGATTTTACTACGCTTGTCCGTTAATAATAATCGCAGCAACAATGACAGTTTCTGTAGATACTATTATAGTCGAAAATTAAAAGACGTAGGCAGTGTGTAGTTACTTTCTCTAAGAACCTGTTGAAACAGACCACATACAGTTAGTACAAGATATACAATGTTTACGCAGTATTATATTTCAGCCGATTCGATCAAATGAAGTTTATGTTAACTGACGTATGTTTATTCGAATATACGTATATATGAAGTATAAAGATATAAAAGTTTGAAGGACAATACGATGCGCTACGGTAGAATATATAAAATATATAATATAAAATCATTGAAATCATCGTAGGTTGCTATATCAAAAACTAGCCAAAGTTTATTAGTTTCCCTATGATTTTATGCTGTCTTATTTGTTCCTACCCTCTGCTGTAATTTTTTATTCATCTTAAACAAACTGGTATTCCATACATATCTGCACATCCTCTACTGAATCGTATGAAAGTATAGGATAATAGGTATACAAATATTGGGAACGATCCAATAAAGAAGTGTTTAGTTAAAGAACTGTTTCATAGTACTTTAAAGGATTCAGTTCAAAGTATTTACTTTAGGTTTGGTTAAGAAGAAACGCAGTAAACAGGCAAAAATGGAAATAAACCCAGATAGATTTAAAATAGCCTTAAAATGGACGTCTTTAAGGCCTCATATGTGCTATCTGGGAAAGAGAATTCATAAATCTCCGCACACCCATTCATTGAAACAAAAAGTCTGTAACCTTAAAAAAGAACATAAACGGCTGTAATCTTAGAACTGTCGAATAATAATTATGAAAAATTGAATTTTATCGATAATTTTCATCGATAATGAAAATGCAGATTTTTCATTATCTTAATACAAAGAGTTAACATTGAATTCCGTCGTACTTTTACAGTTTTCAAACTTTCGCAGAAGCACGTAAATATTTACATTTCTGAATTAACGACCATATTCAATAGACATTCACTTTGGAAATACTGTCTTTTCAAAAATTAATGAACTGTATTATGTATCTAGTTGTCCCAGTTTTTTCCATAGCGTGTGTTATGGTAATGATCTTAATATGTGCAGAATGTCAAACAAAATAAATGTTACGATGACATAACAGGTAAACGTCATTTTATCGTATTCGATCATAAAAGAGTCATTATTTGTTGTAACTGGTTATATAACTTATCGATTGTACAAACTGAATTATTTTGTGGCTAAAACATGTATGTGTTTCGTGTTAAAATGTGTTTCAGAAATGTAGTCTTCTTACAGGGTTTTATTGAGAAATCTGTTCTTGAACTATGTATCCCTAAAAATATATAAATAACGTAACGCTAAGGAAGGTTCATTATTTTTTATTTGAAAACTACAGGTACTAAACCATATGCATAGATTATATGCTTCTATTGTATATTGCAAATGGAAATGTTACATCATAGGGTTTTTTTGAAAGAAATGCTTGTGACATGAACCCTCAAGGGGACAAACTCACACAAGTAGACGCACGGGTCTGCAGTGACACCAAATTATTTCTTAAAATGTAAGGAAACTAAGAGGTATTAAAAAATAAAATCGAATCAGTTTGATAATTAAGGTTTATTAAATTTATAAGAAACAAAAATCAAATAAATAAACTGAAGTGGCTGTGACCCCATGTGCCTGTAAAGAATTAAATTTCTACAGGAAAGACTCTACACTAGAACTACCAAAGCAATGAAAAACAACGCTTTCTCTAAGCATGATTAAAATCTAATGATCAGATAATGAAATTTATTGATTAATAAAATTGTTTATTCTCCAAAAGCTGTCATTTTTACCGATTTTGATAGAAGTTCGGGTACCTACACGTTAAGCATCGGTAATTTTAGTATTACAGCAGATTGTCGTATAGTGTCAAAGTAATGTAGAATTTCAGTTTCTCGAATTGCTAACAGTGTAATTTTCGAACAACGAGTTTAATTTATGGCTGCAGATAATTTGACCATAACGGAAAACGTAAGAGTGCCGTGGATTAGTTTGATGGTCTAACAATAGGTCTAAACCAGTGATTAGTAACCTCTTTTGCTCTGAGCCATAATCGAAAACCCAATTCTAGATAGCACCGAACAATACTTACTCTAAATAGAAGATAAATGACTTTAGAGACGACTACTTTAAGGTATAATAGATAAAATAATTCTAGTAGTAATTAGAAAATGAAGTTTAAGTAACGATTGTTTGAATAAAGCGCTGCGCAATATGTTAGACATATATACAGAGTGTCCCAAAATAGTTTCGACTCCAGGAAATGATGGGTTCCCGGGATGATGTGAAATAATTTTTTCCTTAGCCAAAATATTATCCGAGGCTTTGTTAACGAGATATTAACGAAAAACCCCGACCAATCAGAGCGCATGTCTGCTTTTTTAGGACACCTTGTATATTCTCCAAGTGTTAATATATATGCATATGTATATAGTTACGTTTTCATGGAAACACGAGTTAAAAAACATTGCACCCTCTGTACATGGTTCACAGTCAGAGGCATTCTTATCAGTTCATGATTGTATATATACGGTTATCCGATCAAAGGCAAAGGCAGTCGCAGTAATCTTCTAACTTTTTCAATCGTGTTTATATTTACATCCGACGACTTTCAAAAGTGTTCGCGATGTTGTGAAAAAGCTGTTTAAAAAGCAGTTTACAGTTAGAGACATTTTCTAGGCCTCAGGTGTTCGATATTTCATATCATTTGAAACAGTCAAAAAAATTGCGTGTCGTTTGCTTGCGGTAAGTAGAATGTAATGAAATCTGCTGCTTAATTATGTTTCTTTTTTTATTTCTTTTGTTTCACTGTATCTTTTTCATCATTATCTTATATCGTAATATAGACACAAATGCTGAAAATGAAATTTCTTTGAGGGAGGGGTGAAATTTAATGATTTAAACGTTAAATATCTCTTTTATCTGCAAACTTATATTAGAATTTGTTTCTTTTCTATTGATCTTTTACTGGCAGAGTTTATTATATAGCGTTTTTCGTACATTTCTGAATACGAAATGGCAGTTCAATTGTTTTTATATGGAAAGTACCTTATCAAAATTGTATTGCTTTACTATGCGTAATGTATTAAATGATAATGTAGTAGTTAACTTGGGTCATAATGTTATCAAACACAAAAACTATAAATATCTGTATTAACGTATAATACTTTCATTGTTTCTGTTACAGAGGCAGCAAGATGTATCTCTTTCAAAGTACTTTCACATTGATAGTTCTAGGTAAGATTGTCTTTATTAATACAATTGTATGTATTATTTGTAATTTAAATAGACTAATGGTAATAAAATGTATATGACATTTCAGGTATTTCTTGCATTGAAGCTGTAAAATCTCCAACATTCAGTAATACTTATATGGTAAAAGGGACTCTATATATCCCATATGCTGAAATTCGTGAACCATTTTACGCATGGTATGATGGTTCAAGTGGATCTAGTAGAATTGATTATTATGGAGGTAACTTAAATTGTATCATATATTTTTAAAACAGACGTTAATATCTGGAAATAAAAAGTGTAATTATGGACTACTTAATTAGGAATGGTCAAGACTTTCCAATTATCACATAAAGGATCGTATGGAAAAAGTATGAAAATAGCTCCCATCACAACAGAAACAGCACTAAATCAAGAAACATGTCTGGAAGTAAATGGTACTAAAGAAATGAAAGTGCAACCCCAAGCTATTATTCCTGACACAACTGGAATGGAGGTAAAGTAATCTTGTTTATACTTTCTTTTTTTTATAATATATTTAATTGAATTTTATTGTGGAATTCTATGAATGTTTATTTAGTGTATCGGAGAAGAGGTGGTAAATGGATTGCTGTGTGAAAAGTGGAGGCTGGTACAAGAGATTCAGGCAAAAACAAACAAATATATACTTTGGATACGATATAAGGTAATAACTATTACATGTAATCTTTTATTATGTCTTTACATAAAAACTCGATAATATAGTACATATCTTAACTTTACATAATATGTATTAATTTATTATGTAATTTATTACAGAAATCACCACGTATACCAGGGTTGAAAGAACCAATTCCTGTAAAATATGAAATGAAAGGATTTAACAGTCTGTTAGGCTCTCATTACGATCATTACTATCTGGATTACGATTGGTTTTCTTCAGAGAAGCCCAGCTCCGAAGTATTTGAAATTGCAGAAAGTACATATAATGTTTTAATATTTGTCAATGTAAATTTTATTTAGGCCTATGCTAACTATAGAAAATATATTTGTGTAGATGTAACATGTGTTAGCTTCCCTGGACCAGGAGAAAAGCACATATACACATTCAATCCTATACGCGAATTTGTCCACAATTATGATGCTCATGTAAATGAAGCATTTGAAGATTTTATGAAAGCGCATGGAAGAGAATATACAAATCATGTTGAGCATATAACACGCAAAGAAGTGTTTAGACAAAATTTAAGGTATGTATTATATTTATAGATAACTGTGATTCTTAATATTAATACTATATACAATAATTTACAGATTTATCCATTCAATTAATCGAGCTAATAGAGGTTATCAGTTAAATGTTAATTATTTGGTGGACCGTACAGATGTAGAATTAATGGCATTACGTGGTAAGCAATACACTAAAGGCTATAATGGAGGACAGCCTTTCCCCTATGATGTTGAAAAAGAACAGGAAAATATTCCAGACTCTATAGATTGGAGGCTTTATGGTGCTGTTACTCCCGTTAAAGGTTTGTCGTTAATTTGTCTTTAAAAATGATAAAGTGATTCCAGATGGTTCAAGAATTCTTTAAATTGAAAATAGATCAATCTGTTTGTGGCTCTTGTTGGAGTTTTGGTACAACTGGTGCTATAGAAGGTGCATATTATTTGAAGCATGGCAAATTAGTACGTTTGTCTCAACAGGTAAGAAAGCAAAAGTTTTTGATAAATATTGATTGATAAACTTTTTGTTTTTAAGGTACAGAGACTTTAAGTTACTGTATGAATTACGTTAAATACATTGCAGGGGTATGTAAGGGTTACCTTTCTAGAGGTGTATAAAATTTATATTGTACGTTGCTCAAGCATAAACTCTTCAAGAATTGCAAAAAAATATAACTTATAAATGAAAGATAATCAGAAATCAGTTGAGATTGTTCGAACGGGTTATAATAATTTATAACACTGTGTAATCGATAAAAAAGTGACTATTAACTATTAATGAAGGACATATTAAACACTTACTATAAAATAACGCAATTATTTATATTGGATATATCTCAAAATATAAAAAAGGTTTACTATCTTATGTTTATTGGGATCTGTTTCTTAGATTTTAGATGCAAAATCTGTTTGTAAAGTAACACTACTTTTGATTCATCGTCTAAATCTAAAGATTTCGTTATAAAGGAGAGGTATTATATTCTGTTATTCTAAACTTATAGGCTCTTATCGATTGTTCATGGGGCTTTGGAAATAATGGCTGTGATGGCGGTGAAGATTTCCGATCATATCAGTGGATGATGAAACATGGAGGTCTGCCTACTGAAGATGATTATGGTGGTTATCTTGGCCAGGTAAGTAAATCACACGACATAAATGGAATTGCAAAAATGAAAATTAATAATTATAATTTAATTACACTTATTAGAGTATGAGTAAGATAAGTAAAAACACAGACGAGGTATACGAGTTGACATTTCATCCACTCAATTTTTCGACCCACTTTTCTGGGGCGACATCATCCCATTTCTATTTTAGGTGGGTCACTTGCTTTTTAAGGTGTTGGTACTACAGTTTAGGTGGGCTACCAACTCCCATAAGATGAAAAGTCTATTCTTATACCTCGCTGGTGGTAAAAGATATGGATAAGTAGAAAATTAATGCATTCTGATATCTTCCTTCGTAGGATGGTTATTGTCACATAAATAATGTTACAATGACAGCCAAGATTACGGGTTTCGTAAACGTTACCTCGGACGATCCTAATGCTTTAAAGCTTGCAATCGCGAAACATGGTCCTGTTTCAGTTGCAATCGATGCTTCTCATAAAACATTCTCATTCTATTCTCATGGTGTATATTATGATCCAGCTTGTGGTGAGTACATATGATCAGAATTCTCTTCCAATATTCCTAAAAAATATGTTTTTCTAATTTCGAATAAAACATCTTTATGTAGGCAACACGGAGGAATCATTAGACCACGCTGTCTTGGCTGTCGGTTATGGCAAACTAAATGGAAAGGATTACTGGTTGATCAAGAATTCGTGGTCTAACTATTGGGGCAACGATGGCTATATACTTATCTCCCAGGAAAAGGACGATTGTGGAGTATTGTTAACTCCAACATATGTCACTATGTGAGAGTGAACAAATTATTTTATTTAATATCTACACATATTAGAGGAGGCTCTAGAGTTTACAGTTGTATATTTTTTTAAAAAAGAAAGTCATGTACTACCCATTTGCATATAAAAATATAATGTAAAAAAGAAAAACGACAAATAAAATGATTTTTTAAATAATACCAAGCGTTAAGTATATAGTTAAAATAAAGCTTACGAAGTATGATTTACTTTTAAAAATATGAAAATCAGTATCGTGAAATCATAAACAAAATGATTTTTATTGAAGATTCATAGCATCTGAAAGCAACTTATAATTTTTTTGTGTTACTATTTACTAAAAACATTTATATAACAAAGGGCGTACAAATAGGATGAATTTTTTAAATAGAAATTCGACAAATGACCAAAATGTAATACGCAATAATCGGGACTCGCGAGTTCACAAAGCTCTTTTTTTTTGTTCATATAACATGAAAAGCATAAACAAATATAAACACCTACACAAATAACATTATCATAGAGTTGCGTTGCTATACTGTTGTATAATATAAGTATTGCTTGTTGTGCTGAGAAGCCTATTGTTGGAATTACAATAACAATTACTTATAAAAATATATGTAATTTCAATAGGCACAGTTTATGTAATACAATTCCTTAATCTGTTCTAAAATTATACATACACTGAAATAAGTGTCACATCGCTGTGCGTTTAATATAGAATTAAATATATAAACAAAGAAATATTATGTAAATCATAATGGAAATGTTTAAACATTAAATAAAAATTTCAGTTTTTGAATAACGCTTAAAACTTCTCGTTCAAATTCTTCCAACTCTTTTGATAAGCATTCCCACTTAATCACAACTGATCTTGATGATTCAATATCGAACCTAAAGATATAATATGTATGTTCATTTGAAAAAATAATTTTTCACACAACTAGAAACAGTACATAAAAATAAAACAAAATACAGTATTTCATACAAATATATGAAAATCAAACAATAGTTATTGATATAATATTGTAATTCCATTACTCTGTATGATTTTTATTTTTCTATAATATCTCATCCGAATTTTTGAATAATTTTTAGAGTGGTTGTATTTAAAAATGTATGTATGCATGCAGTATTAAATTCTTAATAATATGTTAACTTTAATTTGTGCAGATTTTGTGATTTTGAAATATCCAAGTAATTTTTATTATTCCTTAATCTGTAGCTGTTATTATGTAACGGTACTGTACTGTCATAATTTTCAAATTAAGAAATAAATGAATGTGATTTGGTAATGCAAAATGGATATGTAAATAAATACAGAGATGTAAAGTAATGAAGTATGCTATTAAATGAGAACTTTTTATTTAAAAAAAAAGTCATTGTTCTCAATGTATAATTACGCATGAAATGATTAATATTTTGTCAATTAGTTTTGGAAATGTTATCTAACTGAAGATTAGATATATTTAAAAAAAAACTTATATAAATTGATTTTTCAGTTGTTCAACGTTAACTTTGGTTATCATTTGCTAATCTTATCTCTCCATTTTATTAATTAAAATTTGAATCACACAACCTACTCTCATACAATTTGAAAATATTATTTACGCGCCCCTAGTATTCTTGTAGAATTATGAATTTGAATGACACTCGCATTCTATAAATCACTATCTTTTCTAACACAATCGAAAACAACTGAAAATTTGGGAGAAATGTCTAACCACGCTATGATATGGACGATTCAAAAAATATTTGGTACCTAAATATTCTTATTAATACATGATACATGCGAACAAAGAATTGTTAAGAATGCACAATATCTCAGTCAAATATTTGTGTATTAGAACTAACGAAGAAACCTGATTATAACTTTCATCGTTTACAGATCGTAAAGTATCTGTTTTCACTGTATTCCGTTACGTTTACTGGGATTATACTGTAATTAAATAATTGGACCGAACTGTATCACAATATTTCTATAAAATTTTCTTAAAAGATCTCGAAATACACGTTCTTTTTAACTATTACAACTAATAACAAGGTTGCGCATGTCGTTTCGTCTGTAAATCTAATTCATTTAGCTGACCAAATTCTATATTTCTGTATATGTATATTCGTAAAGCAGGGAATACAATGCGTTTAAGTACATAAAAAATACGTATAGTTTTTCAACGAATATAGTTCACGTCGAAGGTATGGTCGAAATCGTGCACGAATCGATTGGAAATATTTGTATTATGTATATAAATGTTCGATTTTCAAATACGTTTCTTTCGTTACTTTCTTTCCTTTCTAATCATATGTATATCACTTGTGGACCCTGCTCAGATCGGTCGTGTTCGACGATCGACCAATGGTCTTACTTGGTAACCATGTACGGCGATTTTAGAGGAACAGCTAGTCCTCCAATTGAAGTATATTACGATTGACAGATAGTAGAAATGTCAAAATGTTTGATACAAGCATCCGATTTACTTTTACTATCGACAGGCGTAAAGAATATTGAAATAGAAATATTTATCTCGTATAATTCTCCGTATAACTAAAGTGTCTTTCGATTGGAAATACTTTTTCGTGTTGTTCTCTGCCTAAGCTTCAATCGTTCTGTCCTGACTAAAGAAATCCCATTTCTAAGGCGTTGTAAAGGGACTGTGTGTCTGAGTGGCTGTTTATTCTCCAGAACGGAAAGTTATGGGCACGGGCTGCAGTTTCTTCGTCCGAGTCGTCTCCTATTACCACGTACGTGCATCTTCGGCCAAATCGCGCAATCACCCTTCCAAAGCAGCTTTCTTTTCCTAAAAATCAGCATCAACTTATGAATTCAATGTACCCCTCTTGAAATGTATGTATATACTGGGTTAGGACTGAATTAACAATAACATTTTTTGTGGCCCAGGGCTATCACATTATCGGAGGCCCCCTTGGTTGAAATATTATTTTAAATAAAATTAAATAATATTTAATCATAACGAAATGGAAGGTACAGAACGGGACCCCCTGGAACGTGGGGTCCGAGGCTGTAGTTTCCCTTATATCCCCCTTGATTCGGCGTTGTACTGGGTAAGTCGGAAATCGTAGTACAATCGGTAAGGTAGTGATTCTACATGAAAAAATAAGAACAAAAGATGGGATACAATTTGTTCTTTCGAGGCTTTGTTTTCGAGACAATCGAGTTGGAAGATTGGTCAGATATGCGTACGATTGGCTCAAGTCGCGAATATATAACTTTGCGTCTTATTTGCATCCTGTTTGCGTCAATTTTGCAGCTGCGGCATACGAGTGGTCAAATAATCTTAACAATTCGTAATTACCTGATTTTAGTAACTTTTTGATTACTTAAAGGAGCATTTAATACTATGATTTCCGATTTAAGGGAAGATGAGGTCAAGTTTTGTAACTACTTTAAAATGAGTGTGAAATCATTTAATGAACTATACAGGGTGTAACAAAAATGTTGGAGGACCCGGAAATAGGAGACTCGCTGCGATTGGTAGCCAACGTTAACGCGCAAAACTCGGCCAGCAGAATCGCGCTCTGATTGGTCGGGGTTTTTCCTTAATATCTCATTAATAAAGCCTCGGATAACATTTTTGCTAAGGAAAAACTTGTTTTAAATCACCTCACAAGTCTCCCATTTCCGGGTTCTCCAACATTTTTGTTACACCCTTGTATATGTATACATTGTCCGTAATACCGAAACTTTCTATCAGGACTTACCGATTTTCGAAGCGGAATAAATGTTCTCGATCGGAAATATTCCACCGATTCCGAACAGCAAGACTTTCGACAGAGCAGGTACCAGTTGCGTGGTGGTGACCAATATATTGATGCAGTGACTTCTCTTATTGATTAGACTCAGACATTTCACAGCTGATGTTAGCCAGTTGTCGGTCAGTATTTCGATCTCCGATCGCAACTGCAGCCATTGTTCCTGTTTCGCCGCGCCTAATAAACCGCCAACGTTGTTCCGGTAATTGGTGTAGATCTCTTTAATTTTACGATATCGGAACGCTAGTTTCCGCATCCAATCGACACCGCCACGAACGCCGGAAGCCAGGCATATGCCGTTGTTCGCGGAGGCGCATTGGAAACCATCGGTGGCAAAGTTGTAAGAAGACAGGTCCTGCCCGTTATCGTCCGACGACACATCGTCAATGTGAACTTGATCACAATCCTATGGAGTAATTTTATTTAATTTTCTCTTTATGCACAGGGTGAGTCAATAAGTACTATCTGAAATAACTCGTGATCTTTTGATTGTATCAGAAAACCTTTTAATGAATTATATAGCATTTTAAGGGGTGGATCGGATGAATAGAATTTAATTTTTTTATATCGAATGATGAACCATTATTAAAAGAATTATTCGAAAATTATTCGAAAGTGTGACCATTTACCTCCACATCGTTGAAAAAGAAATGAGTATCCGCTAAATTGAATATCATTTCCTCCATCCTGTACGCCACTTGGGTCAAAAGGGTGGGATCCTTACGGTGCTTCGTTGCAAATAGTCCAGTGAGCAACGAGTGAAACACGACTATGGTTTCGTCAAGGTCCCAGATGAATATCCGATCAGGACCGGCTTCTGTCGTGTCCGCAGAACCTATACTGTTTCCACTTCCGCTTTGGCGTCTTCCGCGTCTACAAGGTTTCGCTGTCGCCCCTGAAATACGTGGATTCGAGGTATTATCTTGCGTACACTTTCAAGCGGAATATTTTGTCGTCTTCGAAATACATTAATGTGCTGAAAGCTTCCAACATCACGAAAAACCGTACTGCCAGTGAACAATTTTTGCTCATGTGTATATTCTATTCATGGGCGTAGCCAGGGGGGGGGGGTCAGGGGGTACTTCCTCCTGGACGGAAAAAAGTGGCTTTTGTCCCACCTTACAAGAAAAAACTGAATTTGAACCCCCCCCCCCTCCTTCCCAGAGTTATAAAATTTTTCCATAATATTTATTATTGCAGTATAATTTGAAACACCCTCTATTAACAAATCGCATACATTTTCAACGATTTATGACTTTAAAATAAAATAAAGTGTGTTTGGCTACGTACAGTCTTTTTTACTGTGGCAGTCAATGTGTTAATATTTGTTGTCTCACAGTATGATTATCCACCGTATTCGGCTAATTCAACTACATCAAACCAATTCCTGTTACTCAAATTGCAAATGCGGACAAAGAAACGACAATTTAAAATCATTTTGACATTCGCTGGGCTTCGACAACTACCTACAGACAGGCTCCTCTCGATTATGGTTTGACTTGTTCTACACGATTATTGTCCAGTTGTTATCCCCACCATTGGAGGGGAGGGGGGGGGGCTGGTAGAAGCCGAGACTCGGGCTTCGGACAAAAAACGAATTTACGAGGGTCTGAAGCATTTTTCCCTATAAGATTATTGTCCTGTTCGGTTCGGGACGATAATCGAGTGGAGTCTGTACTTTCTTGATGGAAAATTACCAGAGCTGTTTCCAGTGTTTGTATGATTATCATAATGAATATATCACTTCAAACGCTGTTTTAACTTCAATTTTGAAACTTATGGAACAAACCGAGCATAACAGTAATGGTCGTCGCATTTAAGTTGGTATTACACGTGATTTGTGTTTTATCAACGGAGAATTCAAGTACTGTCAAAAGAGCAGAAGAATTTGTCGTAACGGATGCTGCAACTATCATTCGATATTAATGAAGATTTTCGACGGAAATAATATGGCAAGTTTTATTTTCCACTTATTTTGTTACCCTTTTGTTCATAATACTGTAGTTTTCCTGTCTTCGTGGCCACGGAAAGCGTAATTTCATTGTGAAGCAATTCGAAGGAAAATATTAATTCGATGCAGAAATGTAAAGATATAAAATCACACGTACGAATCGTGTTACCTTCGATGTTTGCGGTATCTCGTGCGGTAAGATCGCTGGCATCGTGAGTTGTTGCGTCCAACGTGAGCGCAGACTTCGTCGAATCTTTTCACAGAGAAGGACAGTTATTAGACAGATCGTAATCGCAAATGAAACGTAATTATCGGAATACACTACTCATTAAACGAAGAATCAAGTAGGTACTCCAAATAACGAAATATATGAACAATATTTTTTTTTCGAAGAAAACTTTAGGAAAGAGATATCGTAACAAAATTTCAAAATCACAGATTGAAAATCACTGTGTAATATTATCAAATCATAAATAATACAAATGCAAGCAGGATTCGATAATTGGCACATAGTGTATCGGAATTCAGTGATTTCCTTATAATAGGCTATAAAAAAACACGTAATTATTTACTTTACTGTGTTAATAATTTTGAAATAAAATAAAAAACTGTCTTTTATTGTATTTTACAGAGCCTTATAGGCTACAAATGCATAAAATCTGCAGTCTAGTAATAACTTTACCAGCAAAATTTAGGTTCCCGATGTTAAACGAGGCGGGCGTCGCGTGATAACTGTGCATGGGGTAATATCCGGAATACTGTAATGGTACCCTGTCGTTTCCATACATACTGCTGCTGTAGGCGCTGTAATCCAGCTTCTGGAACAAATAAATACGAAGTTTTTATCCAAGATCTTTATCCTACTTTTTTTTCAGTGGCGCCTAGGTGATTACTGTCGACTAAATTGTTCATTTGATGCACTTCCTGCATGTATTAAGGGTACGTTCTGGTGTGAACGCTGTGAAAAAACGATCTCTTTAGGATTTCTGTAAAAGAAAACTATAACACATACAGTAAACATCTGTTTTTTTTAACGTCACAGTCATTGCTGGCATTTCTTTCATATCTTAAAATCTGTTCATAAACCCCAAACTGATTGTTTATTCTATGTGTTATAACTTTCTTTTACAAAACCTTAATAAGTTTAATTCAAACCCTAATAGTTAAATCTTTCTTTAAAAAACTGTAGCAAAAATGTTATCCGAGGCTTGGTTAACGAGATATTAACGAAAAACCCCGACCAATTAGAGCGCGAGTCTGCCGGCCGAGTTCCCGCGATAACGTTGGCTACGCGCTACGATTGGTCGGGGTTTTTCGTTAGTATCTCGTTAACAAAGCTTCGAATAACATTTTTGCTAAGGAAAAAGTTGTTTCAAATCACCTCAGAAGTCTCCCAATTCCGGGTCCTCCAACATTTTTGTCACACTCGGTATAAAAATCTGAATTTGAATCAAAGTCTACGGAATAATTATCAGCGAATAGACAACGTTAGATGAAGCTGATATAGCTGACGAACATTCTAATATAACTTGTGTAAGTATTAATGCGTACCTGAGAGGACGACGATATATTCTGGGTTACGTTCGGAAAATTCCCCGTACCACTATTGTACGTGGCGTAAGACGAATACTGAGTCATGGAGCTTGGTGTTGTGTACGGGGTCAAGTAAGAACTTTGCAAGCCTGAGGTGTTCTTTCCGGTCGTCGCCGACCCATAGTTGAATAAGCTGTAAACATAAAAAGACCATTTACGAAATTTTATCAAACTAGTAGGTAATACTTCAAAATCCGTAGGACATCATTTTGAACATCTCTGAAGATGATAACTTAACAGAAAATGAGTGTTGTCTTAACACATCGGATAATCGATATTTTAAGATAAGGTCTTTAAAAAGACCTTGGGAAAAAATATTCTTGTCAGATATTGGTCTATTGACACCATACACATAACGTAACAAATATTTTTTCCATCACAATAACCTGAAGAGATATTTAGGTGGTTTTACTTAAACGGACCACCCTGTAGAAGATGGGCCAATAGGAACTACATATGTACTATCTAAACTGACTTGTTACTTATTAGCTGCATCAGAAAATGTTTTAATGAATTATGTAGCCCTTTAAAGGATGCATCGAATGGATAAAATTTGACTTTCTAAATCTTATTTTTTTTGAGATATCAAGGTGATCTTGACTTTCTTCAAGGTCAATGCACCTTTTTGTAATGCCACGTTGTTGCCAATAGAAGGACGAATTCAACGACCTATAACACGATATTATTAAAAAAAAAGTGCATTAACCTTAAAAAACTCAAGATCGCCTTGATATCTCAAAAAAAAAAATAAGATGTAAAAAATGAAAGCTAAAATGCTACATAACTTATTAAAACGTTTTCTGATAAAACCAACATGTAACGAGTTAGTTTAGACAGTAATTACTATTGACTCATCCTGTATATTGAACAAAATAACATAAAAAAATGTTTGTTCATATCTGAAAATGTATATTAACAAACCTCAGACTGATTGTTTACTGTACGTGTTGTAATTTTCTTTTACAAAAATCCAAAGAAGTCGTTTCTTTTTACAGCGTTTACACCAGAATGTACCCAGGGCCGTCCTTGACGGGGGTGCAGAAGGTGCCCTCGCACCTGGGCGGCCAAACTCAGGGGCAACCCCAGATTGTTTATTATATGTAAAACTTGGACTAGTAAGAATCAAACGTTTTGCGATGCTTATGAACATTTTAGACCGACCGAATTTAATCAAATTAATTGCATATGTAATTTTTGTAACAGGACTCGTGTACTGGAAGGAACTATCTTTATGGACAGCCTAGAATAGCATATGATATTTAGCCATATTTAGTAGATTAATTTCCTGTGGGTAATTAATTGTTGCTATTTATCAACCATTATTACAAACATTATCCGTTAGTTTCGTACCTATATGTAGAATACAATATTCATTTCAAATGAAACCATTCATTTTTAAAGATCTTCGTTTCATTTTATGAAAATAAAAGGTCAAACAGCAGAAAAGCTTCCCACCCTCCGATTTCGATCATTTTTGGATATGTTTCAACAACTGTTTTTCTATACATATAACGGGGGAGTTACTTAGTTTCCGAGATATTCGCGAAAAACTGCTGGTACTGACGCATTGAATTCTGTCTATAGTTGTGTTTATATGACTTCAATAGAGTAACGATGTGGATGAACGTTTAGTTTCATAGAATTGCAAATCGATTAATATAATGCTTCAGAGTTGGTTAGAGATAGTTCAAGAAAAAAAGTAAGTCAGAGTTGGTTAGAGACAGTTGAGAAATTTTTTACTAAAGTAAGTTCAGAAACGATAAGACATGCACGTGATGCAGCGATACGAAGATTGCAACTTTGCATTGATGCAAATGGTCACCACATCGAGCATCTCCTATAATGTAAGAAAGTTTATTTTACTATCACATTTGACCATGCATGACCGTCAATGATAGCTTGCTGAAGTCGTCTCAACACCGGCTATCACATCGCGATAAAAAAAACATAGCATTCATTAACAAAAATAGAGATGACCTTGAAATCTCCGATGCCTTCACCCACGCAGAAAATGTTTGTGTCACGATATGCCTCCCTCTATACCGTGTAAGTTTTGTATATAACATTTTTTCATATTATTACAAATAACATTTCTGCACCCGAGCGGTCAACAACCCAGGAACGGCCCTGAATGTATGCGTAAGGAAACTGTGAGTAATATTTTTGTACGGGACAGCTCGGGGAAAAGAATGAAAGCTGTCTCGAAGGGTGAGAGATACATGCCTGTTATAATATTGATTGGCTTCGTACAATGCACTGTAGTCTGCCTTCTCCATGGAATCCGGATACTCCTGCTCCTTTTCCTCCGCATTCTCGTCGATGTACAATTCTCCACTGGGGACGCTGTCATTGTCGGGGCAGTCCTGCACCTCGTTCTTGACCTCTGTCTCTGCCAGTATGATCAAAACGTTTCACGTTCACACGTTTCTAGAGTAAGTGTGGGTATTACTGCTCAAAATTGAAATTTCAGCAGCTTAGCAGAACCTTGAGTTGAATCTGCTTCAGCAATTGACTGATTCCATGAGAACTCATAGTTTTGACATTTTCATGAAGAAAGGAGGACTGTTCAACTATTGAATCAGTGGTAATATTGGTAATTATTGCTACATGTTGTTAGTTTTTCAATAAATTTTTTTTAATGAAAGTGTTCACGAACTTTTGTCACGGCCGAAAAACTGATTTTCATTAATAAAAACGTGTAATCTAGGAATTTTAACTGGAAACCTTACTCAAAGGGATTTTTTGGGACGCTATGTAGCATGGTATTACTAGATTGTTTATCAATTACAGAAATTGTTTTTGGTTGCACGTAACTATTATCGATGACGAGGAATATTATTTTGATTACAGATAATCATTATTGATGACAGGAATTTTTTTTTGGTTACGCGGCAACCAATATCCACGACGAGTTTTATTTTGATTACTTTCGACCATTGTCAATTTTTATTACTGTTATTTTGACTAACGTATCTATATTTTAACTGAAAATATATAAATACTATAATTCATTTTGCATCACTGATAGATACGTCAATAAAAATAACGTTAATAAAAATTAACGTTAATAAAATATTTGAAGGTAAGCAAAATAAAACTCTCATCATGTATATTGGTTATCGCGTAACCAAAAAAACATTCCTGTCATCAACAATGGTTATCGGTAACTAAAATAAAATTCTCGTCATCGATAATTGTTATTGGTAACCAACAAAAATTTTGATCATCTATAATCTATAATAGTTATTCGTAACCAGAATAATTAAAAATCCATGTTTTTTAATCACGTAATTTTTTGAAAAATTTCTTCGAGATTTATTAATATCTGGTTTTCATTTAAATAAAAAATTACTTTTTGCTTAATGATTTTTTTCCAAAAAATCTTTCGAGTAACTGTTATTTTTGGTCTCTGATTTCTCCACATCCCGATATAGGCGCGATAATCAGAAGCATCGTATGCACTTCGTTCCCGAAAGATTCCCAGCGAAAAGAAGGGGGTGAAGGCGCGAGGGTGTCTAATTTCATCCAGACTGTCGACGCGCAATTAATATCTAGAACAATAAGCCTGCCCCCGTTGCCCCGAGAGCCAACTCTTGTTGCCAACCCGGTTACGGGTTTTGCATCGAGTGTGTGCTCTCTGGGACATACATAGGCGCGGAGTTTCTCGTTTAATTCAGTCGACCCCACGCGGGAGGGAACCATTGGGGTAAAATACAGACGGAAACCTTTCAAAGCATCGAATTTAAACTGTTTTATTGGGAGGGCTCCGGTTTCAGGTTATTTTCCAGCAAACAAAAAAACGGTGTGCTACCTTACAAACGCGAGTTTTGCAATTTTTAGCAAAAGTTCCCGCGCTACAGGATACGGGGGTTGGTTTTTGTGGGGAAAAAAATCGGTTTTCGTTCTCTTTTCATATATAGATACATTTATATATTTATATAGATCGTAATTGCATCGATGCCGAACGGGGTAAGGGAGCTTTATTTACCATTGTTTGCGGTTCGAGGGTGTTGCACCGAGGCCTCTGTCGACGATGACACGTTGCCAGCATTGTCTAAAACCCCAGCCGGTTTCGTTGGGTCATTGTCTTCGGTTAACATATCACTCTACCTGAAACAAGAGACCGTGAAATGACGATTTATCAATCGATCGACGTGTCCGATTTTTATTTCTTGACGCGTCAAGCGGTGAGTTGGGCAGAATTTTATTTGAATAATACACAGTGAAAAGCAGCAGTATCTGGGGCCGTCGTCCTGAGCTTTAAACAGTTAATGAGATTAAATAATTATTCGACAAATGTCGATTCATTCATAAAAAAGTATTATTTTATTATAAAAATTGAAATTACACGTTTAAACAAATTATTGTTAATATTAAGACTGTTATGTTTTTGTTTGTACATTTTATATTAATAAACACATAAAAATATGGATCCAATGCATTTTAATTACACACAATCAAAAATAAGAAAATAGTGCTTTCAAAAATGCCTTTAAAAATGCCAAAAATTAGTTTATGCCATGCTTTTGTAATGTCATACCATGGGAACCGAAGGGCTAAAGGATTTATTCGGTTCAAAGTAAAACAAAATCCGCAGTATAGTTACTAGTTTTATTTTTTGAGATACTGAAACTGAATTCTGTGTACAGCACTGGGTCCCATGACATCAATAAGAGCCGCTTTTCAAAGGTCTACCTTTACCCACATCATGTCCTTTTCACTAAGAATACAAGGTGTATCAAAACAGGTGGGCATAGTTTCTGAGGTGAAGTTCTATAGACAGTTATGGTCTTGTTTATCGTACTTCTCTCAACCGGTTTCTTAATATGTCAGATTCAATTTCAGATCAGTACGGGTGGTCGTCATTTTCTGTTATGGTATTAATTTATTTTGATAACAAAATGAGTAATAGAACTTTTAATATATTAACTGTTCGATCGTGCTATCTAGGCCCTCTTGTACAATTTAACTAATATTATTAGTGAAATTTTACAAGTCACAAACTATAAGTTACTCAGTCCTCATAAATATTGTTGCACAATATCAACAAGTTTCTTAATAAAAGAAGTAGAATTCTGCAAGTATGTGTTACAAATTACAAGTCAGCCGTTTGACCTATTTCACGTTTTAAAGTTATGTGCACCCCGATAGAAGTAAATTACTGATTCATATAGCTAAAGTGTGCCTTCTTTTGTCAAAAAACTGAAATTGTGCGTGCTTACAAAAATGAAAGAGCACAGAAGTTTATTATTTATTAAGAAATAAAATTATCAATTATGACTAAAGTATCTGAAATTAACACAATAAATCAAAATTCACTAATCAATAGTCAAAAACATTAACTTGTAAAGAAAATTATCAGTGTTCCAGGACTTGTAAAAATTTTACAAGCAAGTTCGTATAACTTGTAAAATCGCAGTCATTGTGTAATGATCACTTATAAAATTTACTATATAATAATATTAGTATTTTAATGTGTAACTTGTATAATTGTAAATACTGTCTGTGCAACAGAAATATACAAGTTATAACCTATAACTTGTAAATTCACTAATAATATGAGTTAGTAATTTATTGTGCATGAATTATATGGTACTTTACGTCTGTATTTTTATAAAGACCGGTGGTATTCGAACTATCGATGAGGGAATTTATTAACTATTTACAGAAAATAGAATCAAGGAGTTTATCTAATTTATTAAACTTTTTACCACATTCCAAGTGGAAAAAACAGCTCAAATTATATTGTTGCATAATAATTGTGGTTTCCAAACTGCAGGGTTTGAATGATTATATTATTACAGTAGAACCTTCCGTGTGTTCTATTATCCGACCGTTTTGTTAAACATACGCAAAAAGTGTCTCCCAGCAATAGATTGCCTTCACCTGTTCCAAGTACTTACAGACTCCTCTCGATTATTGTCTGGCTTATTCTACACGATTATTGTCCAGGCGTTATCCCCGCCATTGGGTAGGGGGCTGTGGAACCTGTCAAGTGCACACTTTGTTGCCCCCTTCGCTTTTGTTGGCTTCGGGCAAAAAACGCATTTATGAGGGTCTGAAGCATTTCTCCCTATAAGATTATTGTCCCGGCGCGGACCCGAGTTCGGGACGATAATCGAGAGGAGTCTGTATATGTATGGTGCTCACAGTATTTTAGCAGCCAAAAAGACATGGGCATTCCTAAATACTTAAACAAACTGTCAACTTTTTGACACATAATCGATCTAAAACAGTAAAATAATTATGGCAATTCTATCATATTTAGCTAATATATTGAAAACTGTTAATATTAGAATACAAGATATCTTATATATTTAATAAATTTATCCAGTTAAAATGTCGCAGTGATCAACCATATTGGAAAGTATTCGAACAACAGATTCCCATAATTACATTGTTGTAATCAAATTTTTATAGTTTGTCTGCATATTATTTTCTTTCTTTTCTCAAATTTGTATATATTTCATGTATATCAGCTAATATAATTTTCTTTTCTCTAATCTAAGATAATATTTACAAAAATTTCTCTGTGTACAGTGAATTGAACAATTAAGAAATGTATAAGTAATTAAGTAGTTTCTCTACTGACACAGCTAACATAATATTTTCGTAAAATGATGCTTTCAAAACAAGCTTCTAAACGTTTCCAACTTTAGATTGCATACACGTTAAAAAAACTCATGACGTTGTTCTGATTTGCTGACAGTTACAATACATAGTATAGTTGTAACAACTACGACTACAATACAAGAATGCCTGTGACTTGAAAACTAGGGTCAAATGTAACATATAGTTTTAAGAACTTCTATTTATTATTATTTTTAACTAAGAAATTGTGTATGTATACATATACGTTTAAATATACATACATCTACATATGTAATATCTGTGTAGATTTTCATGAGAATCTTTCCGTCATTTCTGTGTTCTTTCAAAGAAATTAAATAAATATTGTTATCTTTTCGAATTATTATTTAACTTGTATAGTACATAACTATTTATGGTTCATATAATTATTTAACATTTATTAGTTGTGAATTTATGAATTGTTACATTTCAATGGATGCATATTAAAATATGCCCCCTTCCTAAGTTTGCACGTGTACGTAGAAAAGTTGTATTAAATTATTAAGTAAGTCCTTTTTATGTTTTTCTTACTTTTTATAAAAAAAATGGTGGTCTAGTATTTTACATCGTTACTCGAAAATGAAGAGGTTGTTAAAAGAAGGTTGGTAGAAACCACAATTTCGTCGTAACAGTAGGTAAAAATGAGGAAGCATGTTAAAATTGCTCGAAACACGTGAACTAATGAACCTTGATAACTAGTTAGTTCATTCGCATCGTTACAGAGGTGTTCTCAAATAACGATTCCAGCTAGTTTCCCCTCTTTCAACGAACTATGTAATATCTTCGTTATCTCGGATTACGTAAAAATGTTAGACAAATTTTATCAGGTACAGGAAAGAGTTCGTTCTGTTTTCAATGACCGGTAATGTCAATAAAACTTGGATTGTAACTTAATAAATAGTATCATAATCAATAAAAAGTCTATTAACTATAGTCAATAATTATTCTTTGAAAAAAATATGTCAATAAAACGGTCAAATTTTTATTTTTTATCTTCTTACGTATAAACAGCATATAAATTAAACAAATAAGAAAGTATACATATGTATATGCGTGGATAAGGGACATTTTGTCTGTAATATGGATCCCTCTCCTTGCAGTCATCACTTACTTTTGACTCGTCACAGTAGGAAGACCCCTTAAGTATCATATTGGGCTCAGAATAAACTAGAAGTTTTGTGCTTTACTCTATTTTACAGACCCCTATAGGCTATAAATGCATAAAATCCGCAGTCTGCTGATGACTATAAAGCGTAAATTTAAAAGAAAAGAAAAACAAGCGGACTTCACTGGTTCCGGTCGAAGTAAAAGGGTTCGCATTCGCGGCAGGTTCATTATTGTCTGCCAATTGCGTGTCGAAGAGGTGGAGTGACCGGATGGGTAGGCGTACACCAGGAACCTTCGAGAACGGCCAATGAAACCTCCTTTCACGACGTTTTACATTATATATTCTTTATGTTGCCAAGTCACTATCTGTCCGTGCTCCGCCCTTATCCACGCATATACATATGTATACTCGCCCACTGTTCACTACATGTAGTGTGAAAAAGGAAGCTGTTGCATAAGGGCACGTTCACACCGTTGCAGTGGTTTCCTTGCGGTACACATTCGTGAGTCAATGTTAGCGCATATTTACGAATAAAAAACAATCGATACCAAACATTAGGTACCTACGTTATTTTCAATTAACGGATATTTTATAATAATATGAATATATATTTGTTTTGATATATATTTTTATATCAAATATATTTGATATATATTTCTTATATATTTAATATATATATATATATATATATATATATATTGAAATATATTTTAATATATTTGATTGATATTAATATATATTATATACTGATGTTTATACAAATATAGATTTTTGGGGGTTCATTTAGAGGAACTGGAGTCAAAACAAGATGTTTACTTTATTTACTATTCTAACAGGTTCCAAACAAAATAAAAAATTCTTCAAAATTCATCAAGCTCTTAAGTATAGTGAATTCTGGTGAATTGTGTGTGCTATAAATTCATACAATCCGCAGTGTAATGTTAACTTTGAATTTGACTGAAGTCTTGTTCATGCATCACAAATTCTTTTTATTCGAATAAAATATAATATTAACTTTATGACGCGAATAAATATTGCATTTAAATGGAATTTTTTGGAGCAATTAATTTAAATAATCGCAGCATTATTTAAATAAGATACAGTCAGCAACTACGATACCTTACATGCGTATGTATTGGCTCACGCATTCTAATAGTTACGATAAACTTCTTATGATATCGATATCTTCCATAAATGTGAACACTTTTATACGAATTAATTTTATTAAAAAATAATGTGCATATAAATGTACACAAAACATAAATCACTCATGTATACACAGGTTATGTTCATCTATGATTGATATTTTTCTATTCTTGACTCGTGTATCGATGTTCAAAACTGTTCCAATACAAACAAAGGATCTG